TGTGGTTTATTTACTGTGCTTGTATTTTTCCTTTTGTGTGTCACGTGAGTGGAAGTGATTTGACTTTAAGCCCAGTGGGTTCTACCTTAACCGTGGGACAATCAGTGAAGGTTGTACTGGCCATATAAGTATGTTTAAGACTTAATTATGGAACCTGAGTGCAGTTAAACTTTTATTTGTTTAGTTTTTAATGTACATCTGCCATCTGATGTTCATTTATTTGAACAGACCTTCTCTCATCTCCTTATTGAGAGTGGCTCAGTCGGATAGTTTGGGCTTTTAAGGGGACCAGCGCCGCCGCTCACGCCCACATATGTGTCTTTGACCCTGGTTTTAGTGACCATAATGATCAAGCCTTTTTAAATGACCTGGCGCTCAGCGACATCCACTACACCTCTGAAATCTCAGATATCGATTTAGCGCTAGACCATTTTTGCTAAAAACTTTCCTGCCTGGTAAATAAGCCTATCCCCTATAAAAACATGGGAATCTGAGATCAAATCCCTGGTTCATCTCTGGAATATCTTCTTGCTCATGCAGTAAATAAGCAGAGAACTGGTGCCATGCGCCCCACTGACTTACCGCTCAGCAGCTGAGGAATAAATGTACTTACATCAGAAAAGCTGAAGCAGAATTCTACCTCCAGATATTTACAAACTCCTCTAAATTCTGGAAGATGATTCATTTGCTCAATAATAAATCAGTGCCCATTCTAACTCATACTTGTATTACGATCACGCTCACTGAGAGAGAGAGAGATTTGCGAGCATTTATACTTGCACTTTGAGGCCGCTGGACATTTATTTGATAATATTAACATGAAGCACCTCTCAGTCACTCACACACAAAACACCTTTCATGCGTCTCCGCTTATGCAGAGACACATCCTGAACATATGTTATGTGTCAGAACTCTGCGTAAGAAGTCTGTATTCAGGCTAACTTAGTATTGACATCTCTCTTCACTTACTACGTTCACTATTACTGTTCTCTGTCAACTCCAACACTGACAAGCATGAGAACCACCACAACCACACTAATGATGACACCAACCAACCCTCTATCTGAAACACCTGAGTGTTACATAAGGACATCTGTTATCTGCCCCATCAAATCATTTTTGAAACTGAAACTGAAAAGCGACTCAAACCTTGCAGGACTCTGAGATCAGACACCTGTAACAGTCCTTTTCCAGGCTGCTGTGCTGTGCACTGGTGTGCAGTCATGTTGGAACAGGAAGGGACCGTCCCCAATCTATTCCCACAAAGTTGGGAGCAAGAAATTGTCCACAATCTCTTGGTGCTGAAGCATTAAGAGTTCCTTTCACTGGAACTAAGGGGCCGAGCCCACCTCCTGACAAACACCCCCACACACTATCCCCCTCCACCAAACTTTACACTTGGCACAATGCAGTCAGACAAGTACCGTTCTCCTGGCAACCGCCAAACCCAGACTCGTCCATCGGATTCATTAAATTTGAACACGTCTATAACTGACAATAAGCCTCAGTATGTTATTCCTCATCATCTCTGCTGTTGGAATGACGACAACCAAGATAACAGAGCAGCTGAGTTCAAACAAACAGAACTTCTGCATTAACAATAAAAATCTGAATCTCCGAAAACATAAACTAGGCTGTGAACTACATTATAGTCTGTATGGAAGCACTCAGTGTTTCAGTTTCTGAATTGAAATGACTGTTAAAAACATGAAAAATAAGCCCTTTGGCGCATATGCAGTGGTTACAGTTCAGTATTACCTCTGTTTTATTCTGAGAAAAGATACAAATTATTACATTCCCCAAGCACTACAAGCACTGTGTCCATGTTCATACACTTTATCTCCATCACATTATCAGTGCAGCAATGATAGTTTCTTAGAACGAACTCTATAAATGAATTAATGTGGAGTTTTCTTACTACTTCTGAGCACCTTGTGAAGAAACGTCTTCACCAGAAAATCTCACATCTACTCATCAGACCTTCATACCACCCCACAATGTCCAACAAAAAGGACTGTCCTATTGTACAATGCTAACTTTGTACATTTAAATACATCTGAAATAAAATCAGTTTCAAATGATTACATTTAAACACATGCAACATGAAGTATATACACTAAATAAATTAGTAGTAAAGTAGAATCTGTTCAACTAAATTCAACTAATGGCAGAAATGAAAACTCAGCAAACATTAAGCAGAAGGCTTATGTGATAAACCCAGACTACCCATAATGCAGCAGTGACCTAATCTGATTTTACAGTGCCACCTTGTGGTGTCACTGTATGAGAGCTACTCATATTCAGATCAGTGAGTGTCTGTAAGGTAAAGTGTTATTAGAAGCAGATAGACGTGTTTAAAGTGTTTCAACTACCTTTACAACTCACTCATTTCATCTCTGTCAAACAAGCAAACCCTACAGCAGCCTCTTCTCTCTGCCACATGGATCTTTTTTAGAATCATTAAAACAAAACAATGTTGTTTTATCACTGTTTAAAGTTTGTGGCCTTCCAGCATCCAAACAACACGGTTCAGTCCATCATTAGGAGATGATTAGTGAGTTCAGAACCCACAAATGCAATCTTTGTCAAGGCAGCCAAGAGAGCCAGGAGACCCAGAGCACGTCTTTCTTTCACACTGATGGTCTCTGTTTCGCTCCCTGTGCTGATACTGATATAGTTTCAAAGCACCAGCCGCTAAAACCTTTCATGAAACTAGATCTTGTGAGATTTTTCCTTTTTGTTGAATCGACCTGAGTGGATGTAGATGTTCGACTCCCAGTTCCTCTGATACATCTTTCATATCTGAGTTGCTTGTAGACCATTTAATGGCATACATCCAAGAGGTCTCACCTTTTTTCTGTCGAAGCTTCTCAGCTAAGAGCTTCCAGAAAATCCAGAGTGAGGATACTCGGACCGAGGCAGCTCAGGAAGTGAGTAAAATCTTACTTGAGTCTTCAAGCTTCCTTGTAAGTTCTCCACGTTCCCGGCATGCTCACACTAGCCAAAGACATTGAAGTGTGGAACCAACTCCGTCGGAATGCTTGGTTAAGGCATTCGACCTCGTCGATTCCGTCATTGATGGAATTTGCAAACATCTGGATTCTACAACATCACCTGATGGTTTGAAAGAAACACGGTCTGAAGCTTTGGGTTGGATGGAATCAGGTGTTGACGCCCCTGAGGAGATTCTGTGCTACACTGTGTGTAGTACTTACAACAGTGCCATGAAACGCCTAAGGGATTTTTCTGCAATGTATCAGCAGAAACCACCTAAGGTGGATCCTTTAGAGATCAGTGTTGGGGGAACTGTTGGTAAGAAATCACACCTTGAAAGACCATCAGTGATTGATGAACACGAGCCACCCAAGAGCAGAGAGAGGGTTTCAATGGCCTCTTTACTGGACACCATGATGGCCTCCCTGGATTTACAGAGCTCAGGTCCTTTTAACTCTCTTGAGGAGTTATCTGCAGCAGCAGAAAGAGTGGAGGACCTGTTTTCAACCGCAGCCCCTCAGGAGTTGGCCAAAATGGTCCAGCTCATACTGACAGACAGATTAAGTTCTCTGAACATGTCAGTTCTACAGCGCTACCCTCACACCCTTTTTGGTGTGAAACACTGTTCTAGAGAAACTTACAGAGTCAGAGCTTTTCACAGTGGTGGTGATAGGAACCAGACGACCACCTCTAACAGCTCCCTCACAGACAGTTACTACATGACATGGTTATGAATTCACTGCCTGATGACTGACACATTATTTTACCTTAGTTTAGAGAAAGTTTGGGCCTAAAATGTCTTGTTAATCCATTCATGGTGGAGGGACACATGCAGGACGTCGTGAGGCAAAACAGTCCACCCAAAACGTATCACTTTCAGATTTATGACTATTTTCCCAAAATTAACATTCCATATAAACTCAGAAGACTCGTGTAGGTTCACTGGTGGTTTTGAATAGTAATTAAAATGTCTATATTTGTGTTGTAGTCATGGCGACACCTGGTTCCTATCACCACCACTGTAAAGAAACCTGAACCTGAAGCCTCGTTAAGCTTTGACTTTGGAGATCAGTTAAAAGTGCTTTTGTGACTTTTTTAATCGATCAACCAATCAATCAATCAATCAATCAATCAATCAATCAATCAATCAATCAGTCAACCAATCAATCAATAAACCTTTATTTTGACTCAGAAGTACATTGAGGGTGACCTTCATTTACAGTGTAGCCGAGCAAATTAAACAGAAACTGAAAAAGCTGAAGTGAAATTCATCAACTAGAACAAGTGAAAATCAGCAGAACTAAAAGACGTATAAAACAATAAATACATAAATATTAATGTATATAAATCAATAACGGCTGAAATAGGAAACAGGCAGAACCATTTCTCCATGTAAAGAAACATAAAAGCATTGAAATGGTTCTCTATATACCTCCTGGTTCTAAACAGAACCATTCCCTTTATTAAAGAATCTTAAAGAACCATCCTTTTTAAAAGTAATACTAATATAGAAACAGCCGAATAATTTCACTGAATTTTCTTGAAAATTGTTCTAATCGATTATATATAATATAATATTGATGCAGTTGAATCAGCTCCTCCAGATTAATGAGCTTCAGTCTGGATGAAGTGCGAATCTCCAACTTTGCTGCTTTTACCTTCCAGCGACGCCAGATGTTGCTTGGATGCTACTCAATGTGTTGATGCATCTATAAACATATTATAAACATGCTACGTCAGAGAAACATGAAAGGAACAAAAAGAGGATCAATCGCTGATCTTGGTCCAGCTTTTTCGTTTTTGTCCGCGTTTTGCGCACCTTGCGCATTATACGCGTAAAAGCGCGCACACTGCGTAAAAGCGCATTATACGCGTAAAAGCGCGCAACCTGCGTAAAAGCGCATTGTACGCGTAAAAGCGCGCAATCTGCGTAAAAGCGCGCAACCTGCGTAAAAGCGCGCAACCTGCGTAAAAGCGCATTATACGCGTAAAAGCGCGCACCCTGCGTAAAAGCGCGCAACCTGCGTAAAAGCGCATTATACGCGTAAAAGCGCGCACCCTGCGTAAAAGCGCGCAACCTGCGTAAAAGCGCGCAACCTGCGTAAAAGCGCGCATCCTGCGTAAAAGCGCATTATGAGCGTAAAAGCCCCAGAGCGCGCTCGATCATAGCGTATCCATATGCTGAGTCTCTGCGTGTAGATTAAAAACAAACAAACAAACAAACAAACAGAAACAGAGCAGCACAGTTCATTCAGTACAGAGAGGCGCGCACCGGAAAAACAGATCAATGGGAGGACAAACAAAAGACTGGCGGGAGTTTCAGACCAATCAGAGCGCGAGACTCCGCCTCTTGGACGTTCGGTGTTGAAGCGCGAGCGCCGTTCCTCCTTTTAAAGCCAAGCGCGACCGTTACAGCCGTTTACAGTGAGCGACTCAGTCAGGTCGCTAACGCGGTCAGTTTAATCGAGTTAGTTTAGTGAGTGTTAAACCTGATAAGACTCTCTTACACTCCTTACTGAGACAGCGCCGCCTGCCGGGTGACGCGTTCAGCTCCACAAACGAGGAGTTTCAGCTGCGTAGCTGACTGAAGTTACCTGACCGGACCCACTGGATTCTGTGAGCTTGTGTGCAGCAGAATCAGTCTGTTGAAGCATTTAGGTAGCTGGAACAAATGAAAGGCTGCAGAGTGAAACCTAAGACTGATCACAGTGCAGCAGGGTCAGCACACTGAAACACACAACAATGAGACTGAACACAGTCCGTCAGTCTGTGTAGCTCAGAGAGGGTAGTAATCATTTTAATTTGCTCAGTTACATTTACTCCAGTAACGTCTCGGTGGATTTGTACTTTCCAGAGTATTCTTAAAATATATTATTTGTGCTTTAGTTTAATAAACTACGTTTTACTCAGCTACATTTTAGTCAGTAATATATAATGACCAGTTTGTTTTGTGTTTAAGTTCATTGTTATGCTTTGCTGTTATTATTGTTTTGCTGCATTTACCTCATGTGTCTGTTTGTTTTAGATGTTTCTCATCAGAAATCATCTGAAGCTGAGCAACTGGTGAGACTCAAGTTTTAATTTTTTAAATAAAACTATATGAATGTCAGACAGATGTTTAGATTTGGTGGGTATTTCAAACTAATATACTTCATGAAGTATTTATGGTAATACAGAAGAGCAGAATGTTTAGGTAAAGCCGGACTCAAATATCTGTGCTTTATTCATTCAACTTATTAATATGTTATTTTCCGTTACGGCTGTGTTCAAAATATCGATATGGTAATATCACCAACACTGTATCAATATTTATAGATTTACTTCTTCACAGTGCTTTAATGTGTAATACTGCAAGTCTCAGAGTTCTATAATTTATAGCATACAGCATGTGGTAAACATGATCTAATAGAGTTCAGCTCTTATTAATAATCATTCCATGTAATAATTCTCTGTGAGAGAGAATTCCTTTGTTACAAGATGATGTAATCCTATAACACAATCCTTATTGCCCACCTACCAGCGAGCTTGGCACGCCCTCACACAACACATCGCATCAACCGGGGGCCGTGTATTGGTGGAACCACTCTGGCGCTTGGTCAGTCAGAACCAAGTGAGCGAGCTGACTAATCAGAGCGTACTGGGCTCATCAGGAAGGAGGGGCTTAAAGACACAGGAGCTCTAACAGAGCGTTTCAGACAGAGGGTGAGTAGAGATTTACAGTATGAGAAAAATAATGTGTTTCAGCTGCGTAGCTGACTGAAGTTACCTGACCGGACCGACTGGAGTTACGACTGGAGTTACGACTGGAGCTACGACTGGAGTTACGACTGCAGCGGTCAGACTCTGCTTTAAAAGGTGAGTAGTGACCGAATGAGATAAGCAGCCTCACAAACGGTCAGCTGGAGTAAATTCTTCTGTATTTCTGGTCGATCTGCCGAGTGAAGACACCAGTGGTAGGTTAGCGTATGTAGTTAGCTAGGTTAGCTAGCGGCTAAGCGCCTTGTCTGTTTACGCCTCGCGGCTGCGTCAGATTAGCACCCGCTCCCAGCAGCGCCCTGTAACCATAGTGACCGCCCAGTTCAGCTCTGTACAGCTGTCTCACCCAGCAGCGTACTGTAACCATAGTGACCGCCCAGCTTCACATCTGTATAGCTGTCTCACCCAGCAGCGCACTGTAAACATACCACCCAGCTTCACATCTGTACAGCTGTCTCACCCAGCAGCGTACTGTAACCATGGTGACCGCCCAGCTTCACATCTGTACAGCTGTCTCACCCAGCAGCGTACTGTAACCATAGTGACCGCCCAGCTTCACATCTGTATAGCTGTCTCACCCAGCAGCGCTCTGTAACCATACCGCCCAGCTTCAGCTCTGTACAGCTGTCTCACCCAGCAGCGTACTGTAACCATAGTGACCGCCTAGCTTCACATCTGTACAGCTGTCTCACCCAGCAGTGCACTGTAACCATACCGCCCAGCTTCAGCTCTGTACAGCTGCCTCACCCAGCAGCGCGCTGTAACCATAGGGACCGCCCAGCTTCACATCTGTACAGCTGCCTCACCTAGCAGCACACTGTAAACATACCGCCCAGCTTCAGCTCTGTACAGCTGTCTCACCCAGCAGCGCACTGTAAACATACCGCCCAGCTTCACATCTGTACAGCTGTCTCACCCAGCAGCGCAGACCTCCGTCTCTGTAACAGTCAGAGGAAACACAGTCCAGTGCATTTAGGCTGAATCACAGTATTGTTGAAATGTAATCACACGATTTAATATTATTTATTTATTAATATACTGTATTATTTATGTAATACAGTATATTAGTATTCTGTATGAAATCTGTTTCTGCATTGCTAATATTAAAATATGACAAAAAAGTTTTTCTTTCTGCAGAACACGACTGACCACTCACTAACTTTACATCATTCAAAACATAATAAAACATCTGCTTACAAACTACTTACAAACACACACGTGGAATATATCTGTTTGTCTGTCTACCTACCTGTCTGTCTGTCTATCTATCTGTCTACATATTTATATGTCTCTGTCCACATATTTATCTGTCTGTCTCTATCTGTATATCTGTCTGTCTATGTCTTTCTATCTGTCAGTTTGTCTGTCTGTTCATCTACCTGTCTGTCTATCTGTATGTCTAGCTGTCTGTTTATCTATACTTCTGTATATCTGTCTGTCTGTCTTGCTTTCTGTCTACCTGTCTATCTATCTGTTTGTAGGTCTGCATGTGCATCTTTCTTTCTGTCTACATGTCTGTCTGTTCGTCTATTTATATTTCTGTCTAACTGTATGCTATGTGTCTATCTACTTATGTATCTATATATCTGTCTGTCTTCATATCTGTCTAAATGTCTACATATCTGTCTGTATATCTATCTGTCTGTCTGTCTATCTGTCTGTCTTTCTGTTCATCTGTGTATGTGTGTGTAATTCCAGGCGTGCGCTCTGGAGAGCAGTATGGAGGTGGTATTTTTTGTGTATCTGTCTGTCTGTCTCCATATCACCCATCTCCAAATTACCCATCTCCAAATCACCCCTCTCCAAATAAATTCTCTCCAAATCACCCGTCTCCAAATCACTTGTCTCCAAATCAC